GTTCCAGTTTAAAAAGTAACTAGAAGAATAGAGTATGAAATCCTATCTTTTGTCACAGATTGTTACATTTTTCATTTTTATATAGGTAATTTTTAATTGCCTTCCCTGTTATCTCAAGAGTTGGAAGTTAAACTATGTATTTTTTTTGTCTTATATTGTCGCCAGGAGTAAGTAAGTTTATTTCAGGTTCTGTCGTCTGTCATTCAGATTCTTTTTTTAAATGTCATTGGCTTTCAGCTTGTTATTCCAGAGAAGAGCTGTAAATTTCTTCCCTGGGTGGTATTTGCCACTTAATTTGCAGCTTCTTGGTATAGCTTTACCGAAAGAACATCCTAGCTATAAGGCAGCCTCCTTGTTTTCTCTACGGTATTTTAGAGAGTCCCGAAAAATACCTCTGGTGCCTGTTACAGGAATTGGCAAAGTCTGTGGGGTCTGGTGTGTCTTCATAGCAAATGATGCAACTGTAAAAGGAGGAACTATTTATCCCATTGGAGTGAAGAAACAATTAAGAGCTCAAGAAATAGCGATGCAGAACAGACTGTTATCTGTGCACCTTGTTGACAGTGGGGGAGCATTCCTACCACTACAGGTAATATTGGAACCACATAGAAGAAAGTACCTATGTTTACCTTAATCATATTAATTTTTAGCAATAAACCTCAGATTTGTGTTGTGTTTTCTTGGCCGTCTAGACTTTTATTGCCTGTTATATTTAAACTGAGTTTTGTCCACAAATCGGAGTCTAGGAGATGATTTGAAGATCTGTAACAGCAGTGATCGCTTTGGCTAATCTTGCATCTAGCATCTAATCAAAGTTCAGAAACTTGAATGTCAGCGGGGGGCCAAAGTGCCGACCAAGCATGGGTATTCCTTAGTGTGCTTTGGTGTCTTCAATAAATTAGTACGTTGTTGGAGGTTTCTGTTTTCAACTTCAGAATCTGTAATTTTTATTGTAATGGTTGTGATAGGAACGCAGTAACCATGGCCTTTAAAAATGTAGTTTTTAAAATTCTTACTGTAAAAGGAGAGTTTGCAGGTGTTACTTTCCAATGTACAGAGCTCATATTATCAGAGACTATAGCTGTTCCCTCTCCAGACTGAAAGCAAACACATAGAAAAAGTGTCTGCCTGACTTAAGGAATTGTGTTGAAAACTAAGTAGAAAGGGAAACTGTGCTGAATTTCATTACTATTTCACATATAAAGTACAAACATAAGCTTCCCCTTCTCCATGTTTACAGTGTCAGTTTGTGTAGTATAAATTGGTTTGACAAAAAACATGAAACTTACCCCTGCTTTTTGCAATGCGCGGGTATTTTTGTGGGAATGCACGATGTATGAGCGGAACAAACACCATAGCGAATACTGTATATGGAAGTTTTGGGTATGATTGTTAGCGGTGACCTTCCAGGAGTCGGTTACAGTGCATTCGTGAATGAATGGAGTGAAGAGGAAGCGGTGGCTTTTGTAGTTAATACTGTAACTCATTTTGTCTTTTCTCTGTAATGTCAGTCAGAGCTGTTTCCTGACAAGTCACACGGTGGCAGAGTTTTCTACAATGAAGCAATAATGTCTGCCATGAGAATCCCTCAGGTACAGTGTCCTTTGGAGTACAAGTAAGTGTAGTATATGTGAAAACAGAGTTCTGAAAAAAGTTTTGTTCTAATACAGATTCTAGGAACAACTCTCAAAGATGCAAAAAAATTCCTATTTCTGTTTGTGGGGAAGGGAGATTCAAATTAATACCTCACATAACAGAGTACTTCAGCCTTAAGGGTCTTGTAAGCATTTGCCGACTGATCATGATGGAAAGGCATCAAATCACTGGCTTATTTCAGAGTAAACATAGAACTCTCTCAAAAACAGCATTGTTGTTCATGCTGGTATTTCTATCTCTAGTTCATTGTTCCCAAAGCTGCGATTTAGTGTCTGGAACGTTTCTGAAGTAAACTCAGTGGTTTTGCCTGTCCATTCTCTTCTATCCAGCATCTTGATTTGTTTTGGGTTTGTCCTTCAGGTGGCAGTGGTGTGTGGCTCCTGTGTAGCTGGAGGTGCCTATGTTCCAACCATGGCAGAAGAAGCTGTCATCATAGATAAAATTGGTACACTGTTCCTTGCTGGCCCACCTCTGGTAAGAGCTGCTACAGGAGAATATGTCTCTCCAGAGGACCTAGGAGGAGCTAAACTTCACTCTAGGTACGTGAAAAAAGTCTAAAAAATAGTAGAGAATTCAGTATACCTCGCTTTAAGGAAACTGTCGTTCTATCTTAAATTGATGTGACTGAAGCTACTCCAGTGACAGGATACAATATGGTCCTTAAGGACTAGAAAACATACGGTGAAAAAAAATGATAGAAATGATACATGAATTATTACAAAGGTCAGTGGTATTCAGATATATATGTGGGAGTGTCATGAGGCTAGCTATAACTCTTTGAAATGAAAAAAGTAATATGGCATTGTAATTTTCAGCTTTACTGGTGTCCACGGGAACTTTCCACTGCGTATATACACATAGACACACACGCACACACTCTGATAGAAATCTCACATAAGTAGAGAAGTCAGGATCAGGGCCAAATGTAGAATCTATTATTACACTGCTTGCTTTCCTTCTCAGGTACAGGTTTTTTGTTAGATCACCCAAATGGAAGTAAAATTAAGTGATGTTATAAGGTGAAGCAGGGACTGGTGAGGTTTTGGTTCCCCATTTTTCCACCTACTTTCTGAACAACTTCAGGCAAGTCAGTTCCTCTGTGCCTCAGAGGGACCAGCTATAGAAGAGGAATGTGATCACTTCTTTTCCAAATGTAAACATTATCAGAATACATATATTAAAAAAAGAGTTGTGAGTGTTTGAATACTGTGATGATGGGGAAAATGCATAAGAAATTATTTTTTCTTCCCTGAACTGATGAGTGGAGAGGTGTATGACTTCTTTCCATTTGTCGTGTCTGCTTCTGAAGACACTAGACTAACTCACTGCACAGAAGCATCTGAATGCTTGTAAGCAAAGAAGAAAAATGGAAAGCCTGCCTGTCTCTGCTTTTAACAAAGGCCTCATAGCAGGAGATGAACAAACAGGAAATAAACCTGATAGTAGCTATTTTTTTAATGGTGTTTTTCAATGTGAGAAAATTCTGTAGTTGTCAAAATAGTTACTCCGTTCTAGATACAGGAAAAGGTTGGCTTTGCTGCTTTGTTCTTGGCATTCTGTGCTGCATGTATGGTAACCAGACCCCATACCTTTCTCACAAAAACAAATACTAGTGTGACAGTCAGCTGTGTTATGTGTAATAAGTTACTGTCTTTATATCTGGGCTGGAAGTGCTTACTTTGAAATAATTTTTAGAGTTTGTTTTCCTTTTATTACATTGTTTGCAACAACATCATCATGAAAATAAGTTCAAAGGTCTTTCTTTAATACAGGTAAACACAAAAGTCACAGGTAAGAACTTCCTCTTCCTGTGAATTTGTTTTGAGGTTGGATTGCACAGAAATTCCACTTACTGCTTTCAACTCGTACAAGAAAATAATCACACAATATTTTCAGGGAGTTGGGAGGGTCACAGTACAGTTTAAGGTTTTTCCTTTAGTTTGTTTTTTCTACCAGAATTCAGATTTCGGAAATTCAATACTAATTAATGTTGCTCTCTCTCCTAGAGTCAGTGGCTGTAGTGACCATTTTGCATCTTCAGAAAAGGAAGCCTATGAATGTATTCGAAATGTTATCTCGACATTAAATTATGATCCTGTGCCAGAGGAGGTCATAGAGCATGACAGTCCTCTGTATAGTTCTGATGAGCTCTTGGGACTGGCACCGCAAGATTATAGGTGTACTCTTCCTGTGAAATTGGTAAGGTGACAGATACTGTATTCCTTCATCCTTTCAGTCTGCTCTATTTAGTAGCTCCAGATTAACAGGCAACAGGCTGTTCTCTCTTGGAGAATCCTGAAGTGTCTGAGATATTCTGTATTATTACCTGATCAGTTGCCAAACTGTCTTGAGTCTGCAACAAAGCAGAATGGCAAAAATTCTGTAGAATTATAGAAAATATTTAATCTGAAAACCTGCTAGAGGTAATTACAGATTATGCCAGCTGATCCCATGTTTTACATGCACTGTTGAGATGCTGTTATGTCAGTATGTCTTGTACTGTGTTGGCTGCCTTGAGATCTCGTGTGCACCCCTTTGGTGTCCTGTTTTCCCTCAAGTAAATACTCTATCTTGTAACCTAAATGCCTAATGAAAGTACTGACTGCAAAAACAACAAAGATCAAATTAAACTTGTTTGAGGCTGGGACAGATGCTAATACGGAAGCAGGGATACGGAGAGCTGCCCACGCTATTTACGGTGTTGTTCTAGAAGAGATTAAGTCTCCAAGGATGTGAATCCAGTATCTTTTTCAGGGGTAAATTTCTACAGTTACAGGGATTGACTGTAGAAAGCAGTGTAGCTTTGAAGGCAGCTTTTAAACTGTGTTTGAAAAAAGCATGAGCAATATGCAACTGAGTGTTTCTTACGCACACAAATTGTAACTGCACATGCTGGGTTTTTTTACAACATTTTAATGCACATGAACAACTGCTCTGTAACACTGAAAGAATTTCGGAGTTGAACTTTGGCTCAAAATACATGGCTGGTAACCAAATGCAAACACAAATTTGGTATTTTGTGCATATTGAGTATTTAGCAGAGTGTAGGACATAAAAAGGCCTTCTGTGCTCATTTAGGTTGACTTCTTGCATAATACAGGTCTCCTTACTATTTGAACAGAGCATATCTTTTAGCAGAAATATGCTATTTTCAGTTAAATTTCTGTAATAAAGACTGTATATTTCTGTGCAGATTCTGAGCCGTCTGATGGATGGAAGCAGATTCCAGGAATTCAAGGCTAATTATGGAACAACACTAGTAACAGGATTTGGCCATGTGGAAGGGTGAGGCTATAAGATTTCACTATCAAAATGTATGGACATACTTGTCTAAATAGCTTTCGTATCATTATCAGGTTCTACAGTATTCCAATAACAATGTTTATGAAGTTCTGAATCAGTCAAGAATTGGTAAAAAATGCTTCTAGAAAGCCTGATCTTCTGTCTCTGAGCTCTGAATTTACCATGGCTCAGGCCAATAGCAGCAGAGAGTCATTACAAATGAATGGTTTACATGAATTTGTGAAATGATTTGTTCACAAAATTTAGTAGCCAGACAGTTGGAACAATTGAAGTCTCAGCATAGTCCTTAAGAAATAAGAAAGAGCATCCTTAAAAGTGTTCCTTCCCAAACTGAGTCGAAAGCTATTATCTCTTCTCCCACGTGATGGAGATGGGATGATGCCCGTACAATAAAACCCTGCATAATTCAGATCAGACTGTAGTATTAACACATGCACGAAGTATACAACATTACAGTCAAATCATATTTTAAAAAAAAAAAGCTAGTAACATACATTTTTAGAGACTCTTTAGGTTGAAAGCATAAACTTTTCAGACTGACTGTTACATTGTATGTTACAGGAATTAGAGAGAGCCAAGAGTCCTGACACCTTGTACGTTGTCTTGCCGTGTAAACTGACAGGTCATCTATAGCTTTACCTGCACTCTGGGTATTAATCCATGTTAATACTTCCATGCTTTACGTATCAGGAGTGCTGTAAGACTTCTTGTTTGTTAGGTATGTGAGGGTCCTTGAATGAAATTATATGTGGGATTATATCCTTTTACATTCTGAATTTCCCTAGAAGGGCAGATCTCTGTGTCTGTACAGATATTTATGTTTCCATCCTTCAGAACATTATGAACTACATTTTCATAATTTCTGGGGTTCAAAAGTGAAAATGTTCATGTGTGTGTTTTGTAGGCACTTGGTGGGGATAGTGGCTAACAATGGAGAGCTGTCTCATGATGCTTCTCTCAAGGGTAGCCATTTCGTACAGCTGTGCAGTCAGCGGAGCATTCCCATCCTCTTTTTCCAAAATACTGCTCCACATACAGCAGAGCCAACAAGCATCTCTCAGGTATAGCATTTGTAGCTCAGTATGCTTAACTCAAGCAATTCCTAGTTCTCGTTTTGTTTAAGATTACATTTTGAAAACTGTTGCTAAGAAATTTATTTTTTTTAATAAACCACTCTTGATGTTTAAACAAGAAACTTCATGATTACTTTGTTCTTAAATCTTTCCATTAGCATTCTCGCTTTACTCTAATTTTAAGTAAGCTCCTATGCTTATCTAAAATGATACTGTCCAGCCGGCATGCAAGCTGTAAAACTTGGAATCTGTAGTGCTTTTTATATTGAAATACAGCCTATTGATTTCTTCTGATACCACTGTACTCCACAGAAAAATAGGTATTTTTCTTTTGGAAAAGTGAAGGCATTAAAGTACAGTGTGTTTTGTCCTCGGCTACGGAGAGCCTCATAGTAAAACCCGTATTAGGTTCTCTGAGCAGAGACTGTTTCTGCAGCCCCGTTCCTCCCAGCTGTCACCAGCGCTTACACCAAAGCCTGGCAGAATTCTGTGGTATCGGAGCTTTGCTAATGCCTGGGAGAGCTAGGGTTGCTCAGTATCGTAGATTTTTGTACGCTGGTTAGAATTGTTTTGCTGATTTACATTGTAAAATAAGTGCATAACGGGCTTTGGTAGTTAATGATGCTGTCTTACTGTTTTGGAAGAATTGGTCATACAAAATTGTAAAGAAAAAAATGTTTTAGAAATACATTGCAAGGTTGGCGGGAGTGGAGGGAATTAGAGACTTACACGATCTAAACATCTTTATTTTCATTTCAGGCAGAGGCTCACTCCAACAGATTAAAAGCCCAGGCCTCCATGATGGCTGCTGTTGCTTGTGCTGCTGTTCCCAAAATAACCATAGTAATCGGTGGCTGTTACGGGAGCGAAAGTTACGTTATGGTACGGGTGGCATAAATGTTAATGCATTTGGTAAAAGACTTTTTACACTTTACCAAGATTTCACAGCACTTCATTTTTAAAACAGTCAGCTGTTCTTACAGACATTTAACTCAACTTGTTATTCTAACTACTTTTAAAGTAAGAAATGCAAGATGTGATTACACAAAATTTGGTCTGCATCTAAGAACCTAGAACCAGTTCTAAAAAAAGGTTATCTGAAAACATCCCTACTTGGGAGCTAATCCTGTCTGTTTCTGAGCACATGCTGTTTGTTTACAGTGATCAAGGAGCACCTCTCCTTTAGTTGTGCTGCTGCGGTGCTGTTCACGCTGATAGTAAGTGCAGTAGGGCTCTTTGTTTGCTCAGAATTAAACATGTGAGTGCTTGGAGGAAAAAAGAAATAATAAAATAGCAATATTGAAGGCAGTGGGGCTTGTGACGGTTGCTGCTGCAGGGTGTCTCTACTGATCCAGGAGCTGTAGCTGTAAAGGAGCTGTATCCTTAATGCTTTACAAATCAAACTGTATTACATTCTGCCTTGAACTTGATTGCGTCATCCTACAGCCATCTTCTTGTGATGAATTTCAGTGAGTTTGTACTGTGCATTTCTTTTGTAGTGTGGGAGATCGTTCAGTCCAAACTTTCTGTTCTTGTGGCCTAATGCAAGAGTTGCTCTTGTGGATTCAAGACATTTCTACACAGTCTCGCAAGCTGGGGACAATGACTGTACAGGAGATGAATCAGAGCTAAAATATCTGAGAGAAAAGTAAGGACATTAAATATAAACCCTTGCAGTTGCACTGAGATTTAACTAGTTAAATTACTTACTTCTCTTCATCTTAGAGTTTACACATCCCAAAAAGATAAAGCAAACCTGAATCTAGTGAAAAAGATTTTAAATTTACGTGTAATTCTATGTCTGCTCTTGGGGTCTTCTCAAGGAAACATAAATGTAAAAACTTAAAAAAAACACCACTGAAAAAAACCAAGCCAAAACAAAAAACCTTCAACCCTTTTGGGGTTTTTTTTTTTGGTTTATGGTTTTGCCATACAACCCAAACCTGAGATATTCTACTGTATATTAATCTTCTGAATGTGGAGGATGGTCTGTACTGCAGAATGATCAGATCTGTTATGTATTATTTGCTGGATTCTAATTAATTTTAGCAGTAGTACTGCACATTCACTTGAGATTGAAGTATACGCTTTTTTCATCTATGATTTCGTTTTACTGGCCTGATGGTTTTTGTTACATTTCTGTTCTTTTAAGCTTGTTTAATACTCTGTCTTCTCCAGGCTAGAGGAAGAAAGCAGTGCATTTTACTCCTCTGCCAGACTCTGGGATGATGGTGTAATTCTACCTCAAAATACTAGAAAGGTAGGGTTTTTTTCCTTACATGTTCTTTATGGTACATTTTATGCTTGGATCTCAAAGGATCTTGTGGCAAATGTATATGCTTATGACTCGCTCAAGGTCAGCGGCTGATTCCCAGAACCGGGTGGTCTCCCACTTCTCACTCCATTTTCTGTGGCATTTAGCTTTGCAATTCTCATCTTTTCTCTCTGCCCCCCATTAGTCTATCCAGAAAGTGTCTGTTGAATTGTGGTTACTTGAGTACAGCATTTTCTCATTAATTGACTTTACCATTTGATTCTGTATCTGAATCCTTTCCTTTTTGGTCTTGCATAATCCCCCATATTTCACACTTTCAAGTTCAGGCTCTTCACCATTCACATTGTTTCCATTCCTTTGTCCTAGGGTGTTTCTTTTTGAGACTTTCTCTTCCTGCTTGTAAGTTGCTGCTTACATTTTGGATACCCCTCTGCCTCTATTTTTTTTTTTTTTTTAAAGTTGGCAGACACCCACTCCCTTAGATTCTTTCTGAAAACAGCCACCTTTGTTCTGTTTTTCCTTGTTACAGTGTTGGTTAGTAATACTTAAAATGTCCTTTGCACTTCTGAAGCTTGTTTATTTAAAGATCACAAATACAACCTGCTATCAATTAATCCTTCTAAATATGGTACATATTTATGGTACTATGTAGATGTTAAGTGTTTTCTGGGGAGTTCATGGGAACTTTGATAACGGGAGAGCACCAAAAAGTGTTTCCTCATACTAGACCCCAGAGACTACTCTAGATTCTCTCTAGGAATTACACGTGAAAAGAACATGTGATAGTTGAAGTGAGTCATTGTCACCAGGTCAGGTAATTTTCACCAGCACACCACAATTCATGTTTGTGTGTTTAGCTGGTTTTTTACAATACTGTTTTGCTACCTTATCCCGGCTGTTGCTAATGGATGTAATTTACATCTAGCTTTGTCTGAACTGACAGTGTGTGCTCCTTCAGATCCTTAATGTGCTTTTTTTTTAATAGGCTTTAAAAGACAGTGTGTGCTGCAGCAGCAGTGGCATATGCACTGTGAAATTAGAAAAACACTTACCAGGGTTTCCAACAAGGTTGCCAAAACTTTTTGCGTAAGGAAGGTGTCTATTATGTGCACCATATGATAAAAGTTAACAAAATCTTAGTGGAGAATTACCTTGCTTTTAAAGACCAAAACCAGTTCTGTATTTTCAGTCCCTGTTGTCACAAGACACCAAGAAAGATGACTTCTTAGAAGAAGATGGATGTGGAGGAGCAGGATGTTCTGCTAATTTTTGATATGCGATTGGGAATTTTAGGAGCATAGCTATGTAGTAACAGAAATGGATTATCACGTAATATATTTTCACTGGAGTTTTATAGCAAAGTAGCTTCCCAGTCTTCCAAAAGTAATTCTCTTGTCACCACAGTGAATTGTAAATAGTTTAGTTGTCTCTGTATGCAAGGCATAAACTTTGGGATCCTGAGGACAGCTCTTCCTTCACATTCCCTGCCCAGTGGTACCTGACACTGGCACCTATGTCCCCTGACACTACAGCTGACATTTAAGTATTCACTGTTTTGCAAAAAGTAAGAACAAGTGCATTACGGAATGAGTGCATAACTAGTAAAGTTTTACTAATTTTTTGTTGCAGAGGCTCATTGCATATGTTGCCTTTTGTTTTTAATTAGGTAATTGCACAGTGCTTAGAGATTATAGAACAGCAGAAGTACCAGATCGTATCTCCGTGTCAATATCCTGTCATCAGAATGTGACTGCAGCCATTTTCAAATAATCAGCCTTTTAAAGTTAGCACCATGTACTAGAAATCTTGAATGTAAATGATTTTCTAACTCTTTGATACCGTTAATAAAAATGTTAAACCATTGCAGACAAACAATCATGGCTTTTAAGTCTACTAGCAATAAGTTTGTATTTTGAACCATAGCCTTTTACATTAATTAAAAATTTATTTTGTGAGAAGGATGGATTAAGCTGAGGGCCTATAGCAGACTAAGGAAGCAAATTCATCCCAAGCCCTAATAATTACTTGATTTTTTTCATATTCATGTTTTAGTATGACATCCAGAACTCATGAAACTGCACTTTGATGAAGTGGGAAAGGGAAAACGTATAAGCTGGTGTGTGCAGTTTTCAGCCTTATTAGAGGGCAAAATACTGCCTGCCACACAGCCCTGGGCCTGCCAGTTCGGCTTTCCAAGGCACCTATGGAAAGGCTCCACTTGGATTCCTCTGAGGATGCTAAAGGAGTGACCAGGAAGTGATTTAAATCCGTAACGCTTCAGTATAGGTGAAAAATTACCTGCTCTGAGAAGAGGTAACAGAGCACAGAGACTGTTCTACTTAATGTTACCATGTGTACAGGTATTGGGTTTACACTGTGCTGTTTCACGCATTTTTAACTCTGCTACAGTTGCAAAATTTAATTTTGTAAAAACAAAAAACTCCTCCTCCCCAACTTGTGGTGTTTTCACTGTATAGTTCTCTAGCACTGTACATCTTGAAGTTATGCCCAGGGGTGTATTTGAAAACTACCTGGTTAAGTATTTTGAAGACTCATCAACAGAACTGAAATGCTCAATCTTAATTAAGTAGCCATACAAATAAAAAGTGATGTTGGAGCGATTTAGGTCATTCGAGCGCTTATCAACGGAGAGTGCACCCGTTCGGAGCTGGCAGAAAGCGACGCGTAGCGGGCAGCGGTCACGCTCTTTTGAAGAGTCCGTGGAAAGTGACGGGAATGTTCACCTCCACTTCAGCCTTGGCAACCTCGCTCATGTCTTTGGCGTTCAGGATCAGGAGGTAGGCGGGCTTCGGCCCCGCGCCCGGGCTGACCACGATGCTCAGCACAACCCCTAATGGGCGAGAAAAACAACAAGCCTGTCCCAGCTGGGCGCCTTCTGTGTCCTTCCCTTGGGCTGCTCAAGGTAAGAGTAGCCACTCGCACACAGGACACCAGAAAATCCCGGTATTACTGCACGAACATCAGTTCTGAGGTAGACGGAGACTATTTATCTATATCCCATACTATTTGGGTTCTTGCTGGCCTGGGGTGCTGTGGCACAGTAGCTCCTACAGAGTTTCTTTTTAAAACTGGAAAATGTTTTTATTCTGAAAAGCACCTATGAAAAGCTATCGCAGGGGCTGATGACAAACACCACTTCTACTGAAAGAAATATATCAAATTTGTCCATTAATTTTTGCAACATTATGAAGTACTTTATAAATTCATAATTCTGCTCTGAGGTTTACTGTGACAAGATGCCTGTTTCTGGATCCTGGCATCCCTGTGCAGAACAGACAGGGCGTCCTAGCTCTTAGGTTGGTTGTGCATTTGTGTAATTTCTGGGTCAAGTCGTTGCAGGAGAACAGGGGAACAACCAGACACCATTGTCTGTTACGGCATCAAATGCAGTCGTGGGCAAGATGAGAGAAAGGTGAGCCTGGAGCCCGGTGTTAACTTGGCCTTTGGAGCGTGCTTCTGCAGGGTCTTAGGTCCCGGGAAGTGACAGAGACTTAAATGTATTCCCAAAATGCACGTTGTCTACTTCAGTTAAGGAAAGCTTTTAAGCTTGTTCTTAAAACTTTTTCGTTTCAGAGGGACTTAAGCCCCTCTGTAAGCACTTCCCTGAACTGGGAACAGATAATAGGAAATTTTGCTCTGAATTATGAAATATCTTGGCTATGAAATACGAAACTCTCACTACAAACCAGTGAGAGTTGGCTCTTAAATTCAGCAGAACCAAGACTTCTCCCAGCTTCACGTAACCCTTCTCAGAGAAGAGGAATTCAGGGAATAAGTGGACACCCTCTCAGGCCGAGTGCTGCCACCCACCTTCAAAAGTAGGTGCAGGGCCAAGAAACACACACGGTGCTTGGCATGGGTGCAGCTGCGTGTCCTCGAGTGGCAAAGCCTAAACTCACCCCACTCCTGCACGAGGAGGATGGGTTAGGAATAGAAAACTTGCTTGGTTTAAGAGAGGTTTAGTTTTACAAAGTTCTGCCACCTGGAATTCTTTAAATATTGCAATTCCTATGGAAAAAGGCTGGGAAATGAGGGCAACAGATCATCTAAACCTGGAGGGTCTTTCTCCTTTTTTTCATTCAGTCTTAATTTTCCCACATGCTCCTCAGGAGCTTCCCACTGGTGTTAGAAGAGGCACATCTCATCCGGGAGCTGCCTGCGGGCTCTGCTCGTGCCCGCCCCCGGCACAGCCTTGCAGGCAGCCCCTGGGGCCAGCAGACACAAGCTTTTCAAATCACGATGCCACTGACCAAAATAAAATCGTCATTACCATCATCTTCCTCCAGGGCATCTGGATGGGAAACAAAGATCGGCTCCGATG